TTCATTTTTTTTGTTAATTTGTAGCATGCACGTGTTTATTATACGGATATTTAATAACAGATGTAACCAAATCCGATCTGAACTTTTGAATTAACACCTCTAGTAGAGATATAACCCAAAATCTTATATTTGAAAGGTACTCTCCTTTTATAGGCCAGGCTAAGTTTATCTTGAATCAGCTCAATTTTAAAAGGTACTCTCTTTTCTATAGGTTAAGCTTCGTTTAGTTGATACAAAATGTGAAAATAGATCAAATCGAGTTGAATATTAATTATTCAAGTTTGGATTTAATTTCTATCATTAATTGAGGATTCTATTGCAACTTGTTACTCAACATTTATTTATTGACGTGATTAAGCTTATTCTTACAAGTTACGAACATAGAGAACATACTAAAGCAGTAAAGCTCATTATATCGATCATGTATCGTTTTAAAACTTTTGCATCAACCCACTATAAATTGCGATAGACTAGTCATTGCCCTTTCAAGTTGTCCTTCAAATTGGTAAATAAAAATATTTGCTTTATAAAGTTCAAGTTGGTAAATGAGAATACTGAATTTAGGTAAATATTTTGTAATAAATGAATAATTGCATTGAAAGTAAGTAAATATAAGAAAAAACGAGTAAAAGTAATAGTAATTTTAACGTACTCGTAAGAAATTATTAAAATGTAATCAACAAATTAAAACGTTTAAAATAATAAATATCACTAATAATATGAAACGGATGAAGTAATAGTAATGGCAAGTTAAAAGTAATTAATTAGCAATCTTGTTTTCTACAACATGCACGCACTAACAAACTTATCTCCTCTTACTTCCATATTCCCCACATCATTGAATTCACAACCCCTCTACTGTTCACATAAAAACAAAATAAGTACTGCAGAATACCATAGATTTCTCCCACCATATCTTATTTTAGCTGCATTTAAATTGCTGTTTTTTTTTTTGTTTTTTTATTTTATGATTTAGGCCTTGTTTAGTTTAACTTATTTTTTAAAAAATAAGTTCAGATTAGATCATCGTTTTATGTGCAATTTTTATCGCTAAATATCTTTAGTTTCGTAATGAAAAAAATTATGAAAATTATATTAATAAAATACACATTATTACGAATCTAACAAGACCCCACTTGATTTTTTTTCCCTTTATAGATTATCGTACATTTAAGGTCAAAGTTTGGTCAAATCAGTTTAGATAAGCAAAAATAAGGTGAACTAAACACAGGAATTCTTACGTGGACCTGAGATTTATATACACGCAGAACTAACGTTATTTGGAACATAGTGACCGTAATTTTAACACAATATCCTTATTTTTTAACATATTAACCTTTATTAAAACTTGTGTGACCTTTAATGTTATTTCTGTTTATATCCCAAAAAATTAGCCTCTTATAACTTTTATAATGTCACAATCGCCTTTATTCCAACATAATAACCTTTATTTTAATGTAGTGACCTTTTTTTTTAATTAATAAAACAATCATAGTATCACTAATGTTAGTGGTCCACAATAAATTTGTGTGAACCAGGTCCATTTAAGAATTTGTAAACTAAACAAGCCTTACTTCCTCCGTTTTTTTACTTGTAACAGTTTTGCTTTTACATTATTCACATATCTCACTTTGACTAACTTTGGTGATTTATAGGTTAGGAAATATATAGTCATGTGGGATCTTGTTTTACTTGTCTCGATTTATATTTTCATAATATCAAATTTTTATAATTTTTACACATTAGTAATTAAAGATATTAACAATTGAAATAGTAAAATAGCAAGTGTGAAAAGAAAAGTGTTACGAGTATTAAGAAACCGTAAAAGTATTATATATGGAGTACTAAAAAATGTGTATTTTTTTTAAGTTATAAACACTACTTCAAATTCATCAAAGCATTCAAGCTCTTTAATACCCATTAATAGTGTAATCCGTAGGTTAAATATATAATTGTGCAACAATCATATCATTATTTATAGGAGTGTCAAGGTTTTGAATTAATTATCACATTGCCAATAGAATCATAAATAAATTAATACGAGTGGAGACACAGGTACGTGCCTATCAATCGTTCCGAGGCCAACAACCTATGAGACACGAGAAAAGACTCAAATTCAGTTCTCTAAGGTAAATAATCCTCGACAACATTAAGAACTGTAATTACAATATTCCCTCCATTGTCAAATAAATAAAACATATTCCTTTTCGATCTTGTTTAAATAAATTAAATATTTTCCTTTTTTAGTAACTTATCTTTACTTTTTTAATAATATTATTTTTATTTTTTAATAAATAATGGTCCCTGAAAAACTTCTTACTTACTTCTATTTCCTCAAACTTATACTCTACTATTTAATATTTTAATAAATTCAACTAACCATCCTATAACTATATGAAAGTTAAAACGTTTTATTTATTTAAACACGAAGAGAGTACGTATTTTTAACATTAGGATTACACTATTACCCTTAACTGTCATAAGATATAGATGTGGTCTTAATGTCGCACATCAAAAATAGTTGATTGCTGACCATTCAGGAAGAATGTTCAGATCATGCATATTTTACAATTTTTAAAATTTTTTTTTTACATAAGCTTAAAAATACAAACTAAACAACATTATTAAAAGAAAATAAAATATTATTAGCCGTGGTTGCGAGGATGTGTGCCTTGTCTACACGATCTCTCTAAACCTTGTGGATGCTACACCATGCAAATGTCGTACTAGCTCGGCGAATGTTATCCATCGTCCATCGAACACTGACATCTGTAATTGTATCGCCTCTGAGTATCTTAACCAGAGAAACAGAATCCGTATAAAGTGTGACATCTTGTAGTAAATACATTGCTCCCCATCGTAGACCTTCAAGACATGCATTCATCTCCGCATGTAAAGCCGATTGAGCCAAACGGTAAGCCACTCCTCCCAACTCACCTTGAATACCAAACTCTATAGCCTTCGGGCACCACCCCATTCCCAATCTATGTGTATGCTTATTCCATGATGAGCCATTTACTAGTATTGGCATTGTAAAAGGACCTTCCCTGTCATCATTTTGTAAAGAAGCTCGCAAAAATCCCGATGGGTGATCCAAACTCTCTTCAGGAGGATGTAACCACCTTAGGTTGTCCCCTGAGTCCTTCGCAAATAAACCTTGCTGGCGTCGACCCTTGATCGCTGCTAGTTAATTCAATTATGATACAAGGAGATGGTGCATATAATTTACGATATATGATACGAGGAAATCGAGTTTACCAATATATGTTTAAAGTTAATTAAGCTATTAAATGTGATGCATCCTTTTAATTTATCTGTGCAAACTTTTTATGATTAGGCTGTGATTACTTAGTATTAAAAAAAAGTCAAAATAGAAAGAAGGACTTGGGAATTCAATTTAAGCTAGATTTTAGAGTAATTAAACAATGAAGAGGGTATGAAGAATGTACAATTTGCAGCAATGATCGTAGTTATGCAGAAAGGATGTTTTATTTGATTCAATAGTCATGTATATATTAGATTTATATCTCTTTGTAGATGTCGTATGACTTTTAATTTATGAATCAATTATTAATAAAAAAAAATTCAACAAGGAAGAAATAAAGTGGAGATTAGTTAGTGCATGTGACTATATGATACTCACGAGTTTTCCTCTCTCCCCCTCTCCAAAAAAAAACCCTAAAAAACCCTAAAATCTTTGGCAACCGCAAGGGGCTACCATCATCATCTCTTTGATGATGGTAAGCCCCATTTCTTTCTTTATTTCCTTTGGTTTTTTGTTTTTAGCCATTAATAATTCTCCTTGCTCTCTCTTTATGAGAGTTTTCTTCCCAATTTTTGGGTTTGTTCTCTCCTTTTGTGAGAGTTTGGTGTTTGCATTTCTTCTCTTCCCTTATGGAAGATTGGAATTTATTTTTAGGGTGTTATTTGAAAGATTGGATTCATGGGTTGTTATTCGTACAATTTTGCAATTGGCGTTGGAATTGAGGATGCGATCGACATGGTCAGGTAATGAATTTTCCTCCCAAAACTATGTCAAGAAAATGGATTCCCTCACAAAAGGCTGCATAATTCAGCGAACAATCGGGAACTGTTCTTCGTCGTCAGATCTAGTTTCTCATCATCATAGTTTCTTTAAAGAGGATTTTTACTTGATTAATTTAGATTGTATTTTATTTTTCTATAATGCTTATTGTAGATGCCGTATGACTTTCAATTAATGATATTTTATCTTTTCCTTCAAAAAAAAAAAAAAGTTAGTGCATGTGACTGTGAGTGAGACTAAGTTTTATTGTAAGTGTATTTTATGAATAAGCGTTTTGACTTTTTCTGATTTTTTTTATAAAATATGCATCTTTATTATTGTATTAAAAAGAATAAATTCATCTGATTAAATTAAGTGTATCAGTGTATGTCTTTTGATAAAATTTTCAAATAATTTTAGTTAATCTATATATAGAAATGATTATCTACAATAAACATTCAAAAGCCATATACAAAGTATTTGTTTATTAAAAAGTACAATTAAATCCATACGTATTTCAATTTCTTTGTACTTGGTACATTACAAAACGGTTTCACACTATTTTTTTAACAAATTCGATGTACTAAACCTTAGAATAAATATATACTAGTATACTACATTTGATGTAACTTCTCAATTTCGATGCACTTGATAGGAAGAATTGCGTGTTCGATCCTTCACAACAACAATTAGGAGGAGACTGAAATATAACCACCCAAAACTTCTCAAATCCTAATTAACCCAAAAGATGTATCGTGTGGAACAAAAAAAAAAAAAAAGTCAATTTATTTATTTATTTTTTAATCAACAACAATAATTTTTATTACATGCAAAACAAGTCATAGTATCACGTGTAAATTATTTGACCTTAAATATTTTCAAAAAATAATAATTTTAAAATAGACATCTTTTCCAATCCAATTAAAGATAATGTCATGAACTCATGATATAATTAGTAGTACTAGTACCCACTTTATTAATTTAGGAGGTCCACCGCATCAGCCACCAACCCTGCCCATCTTCAACCTCTTATACTTGTTTTAATTTTTCACGAACTCTTTCTTTATATCTTTTTCCTACATTTTCTCTCTTCTCTTTGATAATTATCAGATAATTTCCCAATTTTCGCAAATTAGGGTTTCGTTGAATTGAAGATCCAACAATGGAGGATTTAGAAGGTGGTGTTGATTATCTTGCTGATGAAAGGAAGAAGGCTCAATTTGATGTTAATGCAATGAAGATCCTATGGGCTGGTAATCAACATCGATTTCAAATTGCTGATCGTATGGCTCGTCTTGTTGCTAGTGATCCTGTATGTTTTTCTCTCTCCTCAATGTTTTGATTAATGAAAGAAACAAGCTGAATTTTGATTTTTTTTTTTTTTTTGCTTTGTATTCATCGAAATTTTGATTTTTGTACTTAAAGAATTGTATTATATTTTGATTACATCAGATTTGTTTTGTCTCAATTGTTTTGCGTGAATAAATTTATGGAATGGTTGATCAGTTTAGATGAATAGAATTCTGGAAACTAAAGTTGCAATTTTAAGCTGAAATAATTATTCCTCAAAAAAAAGAAAAAAAAGGCTGAAATAATGACATTAATGTGCAATATATGGTCGAGTTAGCCTTGAATTAGGTACTGGACTATTTGTTTTGATCGTATACTGAGTTGGTAGTTGATTATAGATATGTTTAGCAAAGATACATTGCTCCTACATGCGACAGCTATGTCAAAATTGTTGGCGAATCGACGAGGCTAATGGTTGCCAATATAGTTTATGATGGTGAGCTCTGTCTTGTTTGGTTTTGCAGGAATTTAAGAAGGATGATAGAGTTAGGCTAGAAAGGAAGGAGCTATTTAAGAACACACTAAGAAAAGCGAATCATGCTTGGAAGAGAATCATTGAACTAAAATTGACTGGTATGTTTCGGGTCTTGTTTGCTAGTTGCAATAATATGCACTGTATTTTTCTTTTGTTTCTGGTAGACCGTAGGGCATAGACTCCATAGTTATATTGTTATAGTTAAGAGGTTAACATATTGTTACTATTGCAGAAGAGGAAGCTAGTCAATTAAGGTTCTTTGTTGATGAGCCTGCTTATACAGATCTTCATTGGGTAAATTTTTCAACTTTTTTTTGGTGATGATATTCTTTTTGGTTCCTGTGTGGTTATGCTTGCTTACGTTTATGTTTGGATCTAAATTGTTCCTTTTCTTTTTTAATTTTGATTGTTTGATTGTTTAAATTCTGCTAACAATAATCTTATTATGAATTTTATGCCTAGGGTATGTTTGTTCCTGCTATCAAAGGACAAGGCACAGAGGAGCAGCAGCGCAAGTGGCTCCCATTGGCTTATAGGATGCAAATTATAGGGTGTTATGCTCAAACTGAACTTGGTCATGGCTCCAATGTTCAAGGGCTTGAAACCACTGCCACATTTGATCCTGAGACGGATGAATTTGTGATACATAGTCCAACGTTGACATCTAGCAAAGTTAGTGAATAATTTTTCCCAGTATTTGAATGTTTTTTTTTCCATATTTCTTAACTTTTAAGGATTTTCAAATCTCTGTATGATTTCTTCTCAGCTTTTCTTATACTTCCAAAATTTGGAAAACTTCCAATTGGAATCTGGATGATGAACCCATCACAGAGTTCTGTTAATCCAATCTTTACGCTGAAAATTAATGAATTTGGTGCTTGTGCTGACTTTGCAGTGGTGGCCTGGTGGCTTGGGAAAAATTTCCACACATGCAGTTGTTTATGCTCGCTTAATGACAGATGGGAAGGAACATGGGGTTCACGGTAACTATCAGATGAGAGTAACCCTCTCTCACTTGTTTTTGTTAATGCATTTCATCAACCAATCAATCAATCTATCAAAGCCTTAATCCCATAAGTGGGGTCGGCTACATGAACCAAAAGTGTTAATGCATTTCATGGTCATAACAATTTTAGTTATGCCAACGATATTTACCTTGTTCAAGTTTTTTGTCCTTCAAGGTTTCATTGTACAACTGCGAAGCTTGGAGGATCACTTGCCTTTGCCCGGTATCACTGTTGGTGATATTGGGATGAAATTTGGAAATGGAGCTTATAACACAATGGACAATGGAGTCTTGCGATTTGACAAAGTGCGCATTCCTAGAGATCAAATGCTCATGCGGTTCGTTCTTGGCTTTTCAAAATCTATCCTATCTTGTGCTTTACTTACACTTTTTATTGATACGATTATAATTATATTTATTCCCATTTTTACTAGTCATTATGATGATACTTCCAAAGTTAGGTGTTTCTTTTCATGGTACCTTATTTGAAGTAATATAACTTAATTAAAATTAATTTCTGTGCCATCTCTGGTTATATATTGCGGACTTTGTCTTTGATATGCAGACATGATTTTACATTTGATTGTATACTGATGTAGTTGAACATTAATTAGCTAGTTGTGAAGCAATAGCTTCTTGTTTGGATGGGATAAAAAAGGAGTAAAAGTAAAAAAAAAAAAAAAACCCTCAAGGGCCTCAACTATTATTAATTCCCCTTTTCACCAAGATATGCCTTGAGTTTGCTTAGTTTTTACCTTCTTGAACCCTGAGGGATCTTAACGTCAAAGTTTAAATTTGGGAGATCTTTCAAATTCAAATCCTGGATTTTAAGATAAAATGTCCACTTTTAAGCTTCATTGGACCTCTCCTGAGAAAGATTCATGCAATAAAATTTTGGATGATATGAGATGGAAGCTTGCAGTATTTCGTGTGGTTTTGGAATTGGAATTAGATATGGATTTTTGCGGTCTATGGGCAATGCAAATAAGGATATTTTGGTAATGGATGAAAGAGATATTGATTGGGAATTTGAGTGCTTGCAGGATAAGAGAGAGAAACAAGTCTGTTATTAAGATTTGGCTCTTCAAAGGAAGATGCTGATAAAAAACTATGAATGCCATATTCATTTTTATAATGACATTCTGTATGTCACTTGTGTAAATTCCAAATTGAATCTCAATGATTTTGACCGGTATTGATTTTAGAAAAGGGCCTATGTTTTGAGTTATTTCCTAGTTATATGTCTGTAAGAATGATATGATGGTGGATTAACAACAGCTAAGAAATTTTGGTCACATAATGCTGGATTTGCTATTCTGATTCTGCTTTGCATGGCCCCAGTGTATTGCAGGTGACAAGGGAAGGAGATGTTGTGAAGTCTGATGTCCCTCGGCAGCTAATTTATGGTACCATGGTTTACGTTCGGCAAACAATTGTGTATGATGCTTCACGGGCTCTATCAAAAGCAGTTTGTATTGCCACAAGGTATAGTGCTGTTCGTCGACAGTTTGGTTCTGAGAATGGACGTGAGACTCAGGTATTAAGAGATACATGACAGTCAAACATCTGATTTTTTTTCTTCCTTTTTCCCCTGTATGAGGTTTTTCTGTAAAGAGATATTTTAAACTTAAATTTACAGAGAATATGTTCTGTTTTTTTTTTAGTAATTCTCCGAGTTACTTATTTTAAGTGAGCTACCATAGACGAGTTTTTATATTTTGGGTTTGTGTTTTGTTGTTGGTTCTGATATTGCTTGTCAAGTTTTAGTTAACTCTGAACTCTTATAGAGTGGACCTTATTAAAAATGTAAGTTGATGAACCAATAGACACTATTTTTTATTGTTTTGCTTGTTACATAAAATCATATGCATGCTTTGTTCATTGTAGGTTATTGATTACAAAACCCAGCAGAGTAGGCTCTTTCCGTTGCTGGCTACAGCTTATGCTTTTAGAATTGTCGGAGACTGGCTGAAGTGGCTCTACAACGACGTGACTGAGAGATTGCAAGCCAATGATTTCTCTACACTGCCTGAGGCCCATGCTTGCACTGCAGGATTGAAGTCCTTGACAACATCAGTAACTGCTGTATGTGATAATCTGTATATTTTAAATTTTATTGAGTGTTAATGGTAACATCACTGTAACAACACTAACATATGAGTATATGATCTGTCCATGTCTTAGTTGCTGCATCCTGCTTGCCTTTGTGCAATTATACTTTCTTTCGTGTTTAGCTGTAAAAGTTTTGATATGCTTGTATCGTATGCTCGTATGTTATACCTTGTTGATTGGATAATCAAGAACTTGACTTTGCAGATGAGTTTGGTAGCATAGATCACAAACCTTGCTTTCATTCTGATATTGAATCTATTATTTTCCAAATACATGGTGTCAAATGGTGAAAGCAGTTTGCTTAATCATTTGGTGCATCTTCAGCAAATTATGGATTCAAAAAGTTGAAATCAAGTGCTATGTTTGCATCACTGCATATTCTGATATTGAATTTGTTTTGAAACCCTGTTGAAACTACTGTCAGCTATTATGTTATGGACAAACCCTTGCTGATTATAATTTGTTGATTCTCTTCATATGCATTTTTTTGATCCAGGATGCTATTGAAGAATGCCGAAAACTATGTGGAGGGCATGGCTATCTCTGTAGCAGTGGGCTCCCTGAGTTATTTGCTGTCTATGTTCCTGCTTGTACTTATGAAGGTGACAATGTTGTTTTGCTTTTGCAGGTAATGATGTCTTTTTCTCTCTCTCTCTCTCTCATGTGCACGCACACACACACACTTTTGCTCAAACTCAGGTATAGATGGCTAACTAAGAGTCTTTACAATTACTCCCTTTTTCACATTTTTACTCCTGCAATCCCTTTTACCTTTTGGGTGAGGGGACATAATTATATAAGTATTCTATCCCCTCCGCTCCATTTTACTTGATGATATCTCTTTTGCAGAAGTTTAAGAATGTAATAGAAAAATAAAGCTTAGTTAATCTTCTTGAACAAGCTTTGTTACGGAAATAATCTGCCAAGTTTTATTCTCAAATCTCAAGATGGAAAATATTGAAATATGTTTACTTGGCTTTGTCTTCTTGGCTCTTTTCAAATAATTTGAGGCATATCTAATGGAAATGCATCATGTAAAATGGGACAGAGGAAGTAATAGTTTGATTAAATTAGGGGTTCCTCGGGAAGTATATCATCTTTTGACATTTTTAATACATTTATATGATAGGTACAAAAATCAATAATGAACCACTTGTATTATATCGACACAGGTATTGGCTTGCTTTTCTGACTGTATAAGTTGCGTATAAGAAGCCTCTTATTGCTCCAAGGGGCTAGAAGTGCAATCCTCTGTGCCTCTGTGTAGAAATTAGGGTAGTGTTAACAATCATATTGATATTGAGGCACTGGCAGGTCTGGTGGTTGCAGTAGTTACGTTCTGCTTTGCTTGTTAATACAAATTCTTCACCTATTTGATTGTTACAGACGTAGATAGCTTATTAGCCTTTCCTAAACTTGACAAAAGAAATTGAGTGAAGAATTTCATGTTGCTTCGAAATCTAGGGGCTTGGAGTTACCAAATAGGACTTACTTTTTGTAATGTTGATTTGACATCTTTTTATTTTACCCTTCCTTCAGGTTGCTCGTATTCTCATGAAGACTGTATCTCAACTGGGATCTGGTAAACTGCCTGTTGGAACAATGGAATACATGGGGAGGGCAGAACATCTGTTGCAATCCCAGTGTAGTGCTCAGAAAGGTTTGATGTTCATATCTTATCCTCACACTCAACTCAAGTTCCTTTGCTTTTAATACAGTAATGTCTTTGGAGATCTGACAAATTAAGCAAACTTATGTGCTCATTTCATATGGTTGATGATGCTATTTTATGAGACCAATGTCTTACTGATTTGTTGATGGCTGTTTAAATATTTGTTGTCATGCAGCTGAAGATTGGTTGAACCCTGATGTAGTACTAGAGGCTTTTGAAGCACGATCAGTTAGAATGTCTGTTGCTTGTGCTAAAAATTTAAGCCAATATTCAAACCCAGAAGAAGGTAATTTATCAATAGTAGACTAGGTGTTTTTACTTGTGTTTGTCAGGGAATCATGGAAGGTGGTTTGGGTTTTTTGGAAATTTAAGCCAATATTCAGACCCAGAAGAAGGTAATTTATTCTTTGTTTTTTTCCTTCTCTATCTGGATGTTGGCAACTTTCAGGCATGATAAAGTTGGGGGACACAAACCTTTTTAACACCTTTTTTTTAACATTTGGTTGAAAACAAAGTACATCATTTTAATTTGCCATAATTTTCTTCTTTCAGGCTTTCTAGAACTCTCAGCTGATCTTGTGGGAGCTTCTGTGGCTCACTGCCAGCTTATAGTGGTTTCAAAGTAAGCAAACCACGCTCATTTTCCCGAGTCCTCTCCTTTTGCAACTGTAATAATATTTTTTTTGTTTAATTTTTATTTATTCTAGACTTGCAAGACTATCATAATCGCCTATATCTGGGTATTAGTGAACTAGTGATGATATAATAGTATTAACTATCACACCTATCTTCTTTTTGAACTTAAGTTGATATATCTTAACCACCTCTGTCCCTCAGCATAGCAATCATATTTATGAAGCAATGGCTAAGATACTCTACAATTATATATTTCAAGCTAATAAATGCAACAAATGGTCCATATATGGGCAAAGGTAGGGTAATAATCTGTAAAATTGGTTCGACGAGAACATGAATTAGGTCCCATTGGTGAGATAATTTTAAGCGCTTGACTAATGTTTTTGTTTTTTAAATATGCATTATTTGTTAAGTTTCATATTGATTCTTCTCACTTTATTTCTGCACTGTAAGGTTCATTGAGAAATTGAAGCAAGACATAACTGGGGAAGGAGTGAAAGAACAGTTGCAAGCACTCTGTGGTATCTATGCACTTTCAATCCTGGGAAAGCATCTTGGGGATTTCCTGTCCACTGGTTGCATCAAACCTAAGCAAGCTTCCCTTGCAAATGATCTCCTCAGATCTTTATTTTCCAAGGTATTTGATACATTATAGTTTTATTCAAGCTGTATTACTCTCGCGTCTATCTGCTAACATCCATGGCTGGCTGGCTTCACAGGTACGTCCAAATGCAATTGCTCTTGTTGATGCATTCAACTACACGGATCACTTCCTTGGTTCAGTCTTGGGGCGGTACGATGGGAACGTGTATCCAAAGCTCTATGAAGAAGCATGGAAGGATCCTTTCAATGAATCAGCTGTCCCTGAAGGTTTCCATGAGTATGTTCGACCTATTCTGAAGCGACAGGTCCGGAGTTCCCGGCTCTAAAAGGGATCCTGTGTTGTTGTATGTGAAAATTAAAGGTCAAGAATAGGGTAATAAAGTTCCTGAATAACAAAGAAAAAGGAACATACTAGAGAAGGGGAAAGGTGCTGCAATATATTGACATGTTGCCTATTCTAATTTGTTGCTTAGACAGTTAAAATTACGTGTAATTAAATTCATAAAGAAATATTTGGTTCTCTTGTTCTTGGCAAACTCTTCTATGAGATGGTGTCAAGATAATTTATTGTGAAACCTGCAGACATTGCATCTTTCCATTTTTTTTTAAGGGTTATTTTAGATTCTTCCAACATCTAAATGTCATGTTCTTTTTACATTAGAACATCAAACTATTTAACAGGCTTGTAAATTAACCTATCCATCAGACAATCGTCCTTCTTTACTATCTCTAACCCTCCAGGCAGTCTATCTCTAGCCCTCACTGTTTGCATTTGCATTGAAGCGCCATTTCGAGCCCAAACGCCATCACTTTTGCCTTCGTTACACTGGTACTCTGCTTATACAACTTACTTGGCGAGCTGAGTATGCCCACAAATCAGTACACATTACCCAAGTAGTCTTTAATCACCGCCTCCATACTACATACACCTTCCTAGCCAAAAACAGCACTTTCTACAAGGCTCTGACATTTCTGATGACAGGGGAATGCCATGCTACATTACGTCGTTGCTGCCTTCTACTCCTCACAGCCCGTTATCGAACTTGCTTCCCTCTACACGACAATCATCGAACAGCATCAGTCCCCACTTCTGCAGGATGATGAGCAATGCTCCCTCGGATGACATTATTATATCATGCTATTACTTATGATAATCTTGAAAAGCAAACATTCGTTTCTAGCTTTCATATTGGTTTGAACAAATGTCGCATAGGACTACCTCCCTTGAGTCTTATATTCGCAACTAGCGCATAATTTGGAACGAACACATCATATTTTCAATGTCCTTGTGCTATTATTTGTAACTAGCTTGAAAGGCAAGAGTACGGTTCTGGTTTTCACATTGGTAAGATTGGTCTGAACAACTTTTGTTTAATAACTTTGCTTTTGCTCTCTAGGTAAAATGGTAGCATGCGAGATTTGATTCGGAATCTTGGGTATTCACACGCCCAAAACTAAACCAGTTATGCTAACGGGTACTTTGTAAATACTTAATCGTTAAAATTAACATAGATTGAGGATTTACTTTGTAACTTTCTGGTCACAAGGTCGAATCCCGTGTAGAATCTCTTACCCTCTCCTAGCAAATGTGCTAAGTTGTGCAAACATCGTATTTTGAGGGGCGGAATTAATTTATTAATGAGGAAACCCAATTTTAGTAAAGATCACCCGCATATTTTTGTTTAAAATAAGAGATATACACTTCATTTGGAAATAAATGATACAAAAACATTGCATTTTGTCAATTATAAAAAGTTAAGGGTAAGTGGTCACTGTTCACAGGAAATTATCGTGCAACACGAATTACTATATCAATCAATATTATTGTCGTCTTTCTCATTTTAGTTGGTAGATTTCAAGCATATTGTAATACTCCGTATAAACATATCTGTATCCACTGATACAAGTCGATCATACAACTAAGTTCAAATATTTATATTAAGCATGTGATTCTGTCACATAGTAGATTAGCAGTATGAAATATGAAGCATCATTAATCACCATGTTGAAGAATACTGTTTACTCTGTAATACTAAATATTATAGTCTTATAGTAAAATGTACATTTCAAACCTTAGAAACACATAGTTCAACCCTAATAACATGGGTTGTGAGGTTTTGTCAGGATTTGTCTCTTTACCTTAAAGTAAATTTTAAAAAATTAAGGTCGAGTTTTTTTTATTACCGAATATACTATTTTAGTTGAGAATACTGTAAATTTATGAAGAACATCTGAAAAATTAAGTGTGTAGATAAAATATTTTTGTATAAAGGTAAAAATAAAATAAAATAAAATAAAAAAGGCATTAGAAACCTACTAATGTGTAGACACAAATAACATTAAATTTTATAAATATTACTCTATTATATACACTTATAAAAAGTGATCCGTACTTCATATTAAATAAATTTCCGTATAAATTTACTCTCATTACCGTCCGAGTACTCTTCAAGTTTTTTACATAGCCAATCATCAAAAGTTTTGGCGTGTCATTGTTCACCTTCTAGGCTTCTACACAGTACACATGATTCAATTTCATCTTGCAACACATATTTCAGACATTACTATTTCAATTGTTAATCAACATACGGAGTAATTAACAAATAGTTACCATAAAATGCTAAGGTCCATTGACTTTCCTTTTCTAAAAGCAATCATTAGAACCCGAGATTAAGATTTCCTAAATAAAATGATTACGTTCCAACCTTAAATATCACCCACACATAAATGAAGTGCTTCTTTTTACTTCAGCAGAATCTTGTAAAGCTAAATTTGGACAACACAAAGTATCCAATGCCGTAATTTTTTTTTACACTATTGTGAAGAATATAAAGAGAATACTTTTTGTTTTTATCTAGAATAGTTTTTGTGAGACAAATATAGTCAGAGTGGAATATTGTTTGCTGAGACGATAGGCTGGTTGCTAATACTCTCTCTAACACTCTTTGTTTTTATCTAGAATATTTTTGTGAGACAAATATAGTCAAAGTGGAATGAACATAGACAATCAAGGCAGAGTAAGATTTGTTCAAGAGGGAGAGGGTATGGTACTTCCATGCTACTCGATAAGGGATTACAATATTTCTCTATAGAAGAGTGATACGTGTCAGGAATTGATTTTCCTTAGTTGTATTACTGTATGAGCAAGTATTTATATACAACCTAACAAGAGATTAGGGCCAACCTAGGCCCATTATCTATACACTATAGGCTTAACATCCCCCCCTCAAGTTGGAGCATGCAAATCACAAATGCCCAACTTGCTAAGTAAATACAAAAATTGGTTTTTGCTTAAAGCCTTAGTAAATATATTTGCAAGTTGATCAGCTGTCTGCGCAATATATAACGCTGACTGACTATCACAAAACAAGCTCATCGCACGGGGATGCGAGACTCCCAAACTATCAAGTAGCGCCTTCAACCATTTCAACTCAGAAGTAATTGCCAACATTGAACGATACTCTGCCTCTGCAGAAGACTTAGAGACAGTATGTTGTTTCTTGGTCTTCCAAGAAATCGGAGAACCGCCAAGAAACACCAACCAACCAGAAATCGACCGTCTCGTCAAAGGACAACTAGCCTAATCCGAGTCACACCAACCTGGTAAATGTAAATCGCAATCTGAACTCAAAAGGATCCTTTGGCTCGGACAACCTTTCAAGTAGCGTACTGTAGGAAATGCTGCCTCCCAATGATCTTGACGGGGTTGTTGCATAAATTGAGATAAGATATGAACTGTATAAGCCAAATCAGGTCTAGTGAAAGACAAATAAATCAAACAACCAGCAAGATGGCGATACATATCGGGGTCATCAATAAGAGATGTCTCCGATTTCGCCAGAGTATGATTCTGCTCAATTAGAGTACCAGCCAGCCTTGCCCCTAACAAACCAGACTCTGCAATAATATCAAGGATGTATTTCCGTTGACATAAAAATAAGCCTTCTAGATTTCGTGCAACCTTAATACTAAGAAAATACTTCAAAACACCCAAATCTTTCATATGAAAACAGTCACTCAAGTATGATTGAATGTAGAAATTGTAGAAGAGTTATTCCCCGAAATAATCAAATCATCAACATACACAAGGACACTGAGATGAATTCAGAGTGAATAGAGAATAATCAGAGTACGACTGTATGAAACCGTACCTTTTGAGTGAGCTAGACAATTTGGCAAACCAACAACGGGGTGCTTGTCTAAGGCCATACAAAGACTTCGTAGGCGACATACCATGCCAGGTTGAGAACCATGAAATCCAGGTGGAGGCTTCATATAGACTTCGTCATTAAGAAAGGCATTATCAACATCTATTTGATGCAATTCCTAATTCTTCGTAGCAGCAACAACTAAGAAAGCACGAACGGTGACCATTTTAGCTACGGGAGCAAATGTCTCATTATAATCGATACCCTCAACCTAATGGTTGCCAAATATAACAAGGCGAGCTTTCAATCTTTCAATTGTGCCATCTAAATTATGTTTCACCTTGTAAACCCATCTGCACCTAAACCTGGGCATCGTGCCGTGCCGTGCTGCCGCGGGCCGTGCCTGGCGGGCCACGATCAACGGCGTGCCGTGCCGGTCGTGCCTCCGTGCCCAAAACCTCGTGCCGTGCTGTGCCGGCCATTTTTACAGGCCAGCACACGGCCTGGCACGGCCCTCGTGCCTGGCAAGCTCGTGCCATGCCCAGCCCGCCAGGCCTGCTATATGTATATATATATATATATGTGTATATATATATATATGTGTGTGTGTGTGTGTGTGTGTGTGTGTGTGTGTGTGTGTCTGTGTGTGTGTGTGTGTGTATATATATATACATTTAGGGCGTGCCTGGGCGGGCCAAGGGGCGGACTCGTGCCGTGCCGTGCCGAAAAGTGCAACTCTTGTCCGTGGCACGGCCCACGGCACGCCGGCGGGCCACCGTGTCGTGTCGGGCCACCACCCGGGCCGTGCCGTGCCCAGTCGAAGGGCGGGCCGTGCCGAGCGGCACGCGGGCCACCCCGGCCTGTGCCCAGCTCTATCTGCACCCGAGAGCCTTTTTCCTCGGAGGTAATTCTTCCATTACCCAAGTTTCATTATCTTCCAAGGTAGAGATTTCTTTTTGCATAGCCTTTCTCCACCCCTCATGTTTCGGTGCCTCTTTGAAATTACGAGGCTCAATTGCCTTGTCTACAGCTGCAATAAATACACGGTGTCGCATAGAAAATTTATCACAATTCACAAAGTGTGCTAAAGGATAAGGAGTACCTGAGGAGCATGGAGTAGACGGTGAACATGTAAAGATAGATGGACTCGAAAGAGAATAGTATGTGCGACATAATCACGATGCTAACCCGGAAGATGTCGTTGGCGTTGACCAAGACCCATATCAAGAGAAGAGGAAGAAGAGAGGCTCGAATCAGCCACAAGGCTGCTGTCCGTAGTGCTGGCAGAAGCAGAGACAACAGTTGTAGGTATCGGGGGTTGGCTGCGGGCAACACTTCCAGCCTACTAGCAGCAGTAGCGGACGTTGCAGCAGAGGCAGTGGCAGCATCGAAAGAAGACACTACAAGAAAACAGCTTAATTCCGACGGAAAAAATACGTCGGAAACATCGGAAA